TCATATCTTTCTCACCAGATACACTCTAATTAATCGAATTAGATGATCGATATTGTCTACCCCACGACTAATTGCACTTCTGCATACCAAACCATGCTCAAAACACTTAGCAACACTAATGATCATCAATGAAGCAATCCCACGTTCTGCACCAACGCTATTGCAAATTTGTGTGTGCATCAAACGCGGTACTTTCCTAGCAGATATTAGTTTTGAAATCACTTCAACTCTCTCAGAGAGCCTTTAGGTACTCACTTTTAGTCAGTCCACGAATAATCGCGTTCGAGCTACATCATACCTGACACGCGTATATGTCCCAAATTTAGGTCCAGAGCGAGACAGCTCTTACTAATTGAATTGAATTTTTAAACCTGACAGAAAAGGTCAAAAGACACCTAGTGTCCCCTTGCAAATCACACGGGATCGATTTCATTTGTGCACCTTTAAAACCACCACGTACAATCTACTGTTTCGAACAGTTGCGCGTCGTACGTACTCTCATGACGCTTCTGAATATTGAGACTTTCTCAGCTTTACAAAGCCCGTTCGCTGATGTTGGTAGCTCACAATTTTGGTCATTAAGCCCTACCTCTGTAAGACCGATAACATCGCTGGGGAATTTCACTTCCCTTCTATAAGTTTCACTTACATCTCGAGTTACAGCAATCGTCAGGTCTCTCCTATTATGTGACCCTCATCGACTGTGATTCAGCGAGTCCTCGCGATGATTTGTCTAACAACCCTGCGCGGAGCGCTCTGCCGTCTATAGCTTAAGCTCAAGCAAAAAAGAGATACACAGCGCGCATTTTGTTGATTCTGTCACATATGCAAAATTCGCAAATACCGTAATGCTACTCAGCAGCCAGGAACTTGTTTTTTTATCTTGCGTTAGCTAACATAAATCGATTACGACGAATGAGCTTCCACCTCCTGCACTCCACCCAGCTCCGCACCACACAGGCGTGTTCTTCATATTTGATGCGGCACCTACCGCATCTTCAACAAAAAGATGAGTGCATACGGTCTCAATTCCACTTAAATCTATACGAATACCTTCCATGACGATGGTGACTGCTACTGCCTTCAGTAACGGGTAAGTCACCATCGCTGCAAAAAGATTTCAACTGTTGAATAGTACTTGCTAATTCAAGCTTTTCTAACTACATTGTATGTCTGGTATGGTGATTCGAGCACTCGCGAAAAGCATGGTCATCTCAAATTCTCTCGTCCCGAGGTTCTCCACCCCGAAAGCCGGTGTTCTTACATCGACACATTGCCGGGTCGCTTCTGAAGAAGTATCACCAGCGTATTTTAAATACTTGTGAGCAGCTACAGGCGAGCTAATTCAGCTTCCCTTTAGTAAGCCTTATTCTGTCAACATAACTGAGGACATCAGCTTACCCAGCATGTCTTGCTGTCCAGGGGACAGATGTTCTTGCGTACCATCCTCACAAAAGATACACTCGATCGTTGGATTGACGACAAGCTTAACCATGCAGCAGAGCTGCCTTAGCTTTTTGCTAAGAGAAAGCAAAGCTAAGGTCACCGACCTTACATTCTTTCCAAGAATCAAAGCAAGTGTAGCGGATCGCAATCCGATGCTTCTAAGTACGAGTCTATTCAAGGCACACGATTTTTCTCTGTTAAAATCAAAAATGTATTTGATTGTTTTAGTGCGGCAGAGCCGCCAATGTCTAAAACCTTAGGTTTTTCTAATTTATATAGTAATACCTAATTTATATAGCAAAACCTGATTACCATAAAAATATGCATTACTACCGGCAATCCTGCCACGTGGTGGCTTTTTGTTACGGTGTAGGCACACCACTGTGTGGTTGCACAATCACCCCTTCTTACAAAGGTACGTGTAACCTCGTTACACCCTCGCCTATTAAGGATGTGAGTTCTTCAATTAACATTAATCGGTTGCTTCATACGGCTCGCGTGTCTGAGACACTTTCACATTCATAAGAACAACTTGAACCTTCTCCGCTCTATGAGCACTGTGTCTTCGAAACACAAAACACCCAGCCTAGCTGATTCCGATGGTGCCCGCGGGCGAAGCCCTTCTTCTTCTCCTGCACAGAGTGCATCTCTGGACAGTAAGTCCGCGGCTTCACGGAAAGCACATCTCAAGTCCTCGGCAACTGGGCGCGACATAACACGCCCGCCCCGGGAGACGGATTTTCTCGTCAAGAAGCTGGAAGACGGCGACTACGAGTCCGACACTCCTTTCCCAGCATGGGATGACGCGGAAGATGAAGTGGGCCAACGGCGCAATGTGAGCCCAGCCCAAACCCTGCGGACACCATGCCGTTCCCCGACCTCTCTGCTTCCGGGGAAGTGGCATTATTACCAATCACCTCGACGTGGCACAGGAGCAACAATTGAAGGCTGCTCACAGACGGCTCTCCTGTGCTCGTATCCTCGTTCGGTCTACGACCTCCTGTGGAATACGGCTTCCACTCGGCGGAACCAGCTACAAAACCGCGATCACTCGATCGTTAGGCGTCTACGTAATCGAGCCTCCGGCCGCTACACAAGCTGAGCTTGACCAGCGGAAAGCTCTTCGAGCTCGGTTTTTGATACCCCAAGAGATCTCAATAAGTTGATACCGCGCTCGACTTCGAGCTCAAACAGAAGGTGCTCCTGCTCCCGCAATGCGGACCATTCCTGTGGTGGGGAAACCGCTGCATATGATGATGAGCTCTTCAAGCGATGGGTGCAGCTGCACCGGAAACTTTCCTCGCTGTTAACCATACAGCGAAGCCACGGACGTGCGCATTGAGCGCCATCTTACATTAAAATTGTCAAACTCACAGCGCCGATTTTCTGCGTATTGTCGCCCTGCAACATACGGACAATCCATAACGCTCCTGCGAGCTCTGTGGTTTCTCACATGGGTGAGGTTCCGACCACAGCATCTCAGGGCCATAGCTAAAGCTCAGCTCATTACCTTCCGGCTTCCGGGGCTACTGCCGTGAAGCGCGGTGCGCAAGACGACGCAAAGCGTCATGATCTTTCTGATCATAAGCGTCAACGACGTCTGGGCAATCTTGCCGAAGCGGCACTTCAAACGACCCCCGCCGCTTCACAAGATATTGGGTTACACCCCGTCGATGACGTCGACCCACAACGCGCTCAACGTGGAAGTGGACGCCCCCATTCTCATCGACAAGAGTTGGCGGCGGACGATGACGACTTGATCGATCGCCGTCCGGTGACTCGCGATGCTCTTCGAGCGTTGGAGGACAAAGTTCGTCGTCTTCGGCACGCTGACGAGCATCTCTCCGAGGTCGCTTACCGCTGTGCGAAATACCTCGAGAGTATGGAGCACTTTGTGCATTGAATGCCTCGCGTTGAGGATTATCGTGCTCTGTCGGAGCCGTCGAGCAGGCGAATACGTCGCTTCGTGTGACGGTGGGGCACCTTGCGCCGTATAAAAACGGAAATTATAGCACTCTGTGCTCAGACCATTTGTTGGTTCAGCTTCTAGGTGGCCGAGCGCCTTTGGGCGCCGCCCCGGCGCCATTGCTTCTGCGTGCACTTGCGGGTGCGGCTTAAGCAAGCCCACATAAAACACCGGGTGGGTGCACATCCTTCTCGGAATGTTTACGGTACGCCAGGCATTGCTTGGCCACGACCTCGAAAGGTAATAAACCGTGGACGGAGCTTCGTCCTTAAGACAGCAGAACCGTATGTGTAGGAAGGTATTTAGCGTTTAATAAACCAGTTCTTCGATCTCAAGGTTTTCAACATTTCTTTTTCCTGTTCCGTCTGCATATTCCTTCCACATGTCTTGACTTATAGTCATCGCATTGCAAACATGTCGAAATACACTCAGTCTAGTTGACAGGAAGTCTCCGACTTCTCGCGCACAGTGAGGGAGCTGACATTAGCTAACCATTCAAATATTTACCCCCATAAGCCCTGAGCAATGGGATGGCGGCGTCAGCGGGACTCGATGACTAATTGGCCCGATCATGTCGAACGGCGTATAGCCGGTAGATGAATGCACTGCATTGTTCAGAGCAAACTCTACGAGTGGC